ACCAGAGTTTCCCCCGGATTCCTGTCCAGAGGGGTAAGCACGAGACCGCTAAGCCTCTGTCTGACTGCTGCTACCTCATTCACATCCAGGAAACAGCCATCCTTTCGTAGACAACAATCTGTCATGCAGCGATCCAGTTCAACGGCGGAACAAGAAACGACCTACTCTTTAATGTTAGCCGAATTTGAAAAACTCTAAGTGATTTCATAGCCCAACTTAATAGCCCTGTCCCGATGATTGGCTTTGGGAACATTGTTGGCGTTCATCACCAAGGATGGGATGTTACTTACATCGCGTAAGCGAACACACACGTGTCCTCGCACCCTAGGGTACGGCAGTCCTGCGCATGCGCAGGTTATGACATCCAATCGGGCAAATGCCCTATGGTTGTGAATTAAATCCGCAACATTCGGATTTCGTGTCCAAATGATGCGGATTGAGCGACGTGCACGTCGAATCACACAAGCTGGTAGTATGAACCCACCCAACTTATCATTCGCTAACTTACGGACAGCAACCAACTTGATCCGAGCATCAAAAACCAAACGAAAGACCATGCGAGCCGAGAAGTTGAAACCAAACCCATCCTTAACAACTCTTCCGATCAATCAACTCAAATAAGCACGTGTGCTCTTCTTCTCAAAATCCTTGATTGCGTTAAACAAACTGGATAGAGAATCCAAATCCCACCTCCAAAGCAGGTTAAGGCGTTTCGGGTTACGTAAGATAGAAACCAAAAATGGTTTATTAATGTTCTTACGTGCCCTCCAACGCTTTAGATACCGGAAAACAATGCAACCATCCTTTTCAAACGCCTTTTTGAACTTACTGAGACAACCAGTACATCCATCGTATGTCACAACAGAAGTGCCAAATGCCTTACGTATACCTTGCTAGCAATCACACCAGGTACTGCCACCCTCAACAATCAGAGTAAAGGAACGCAAACCCGGCTCATCCTGCTTACAAAGGAGGTTAAAAATACCAACCGACCAGGCATCATCCTTATTAATTCGCACTCGAACAGGATTGATGAGTCGTGTATCATCATATTCACTCCTCCTACGCTCAGTCAGTGTGACCGTTTTTTCTTGCCCGGGCGTCCTTTCTCAAATGAGCCGGAACGAGTCCCGCCTGTATTTAAGAAAGGACTTCATTGACGGATGAAGACCGATTCAACCACAACCAAATCGGCATTTTCGACAATTTCCAAAGGCAGCAAGCAGTAGGATTT